TAAAAAATAAAAAAACACAAAAAAAAAAAAAAAAAAAAAAAAAAAAAAAAAAAAAAAAAAAAAAAAAAAAAAAAAAAAAAAATCAAAAAACCAAAACAGACCTAAAACCAGACAGCCAAACAGCTCAGAGGCACACAGTTACCTGCTGGCAGGTAACCAGGCGTGCTCCCAAGGCCAAAAGTGCGGGCGTAGTGGGGCCACTGGCACACCTCATACCAGGAGACACGCACACGGAGCGCTACACAGCCAGAAGCACCGCACTGCAGCACACAATGTGAGGAGGTGACAACACGGAGGGACACTACCCACTTCATACACCTTTATTTCCACTTTTCTGATATCTTCTGAGGACAGAACATCTGTGAGCCAATTTTGTTTTAATCAAACCATTGACTTTTTAAAACAATTCTTTAAAGAAATTGTAGCGGATGTGTGCCGTAACTTGTATTTATGACTGTAAAACCATGTGATGCAGGGTCGCAGTGTATGTTTGATGGGACGCCATCTTTCAGAACTGTGCTAACTCACTGTTGAAGCGTCCAATGGTAAGAGAAAATACAGATTTGTTTTTTGTGACAAATGGACATTGTACTCTGTACTTCTGCTGTAAGTAGTCCTTTTCCTTTGTAATGACTGATTGCTGAAAAACAAAACCCAGTCTGGGTGGCAGGAAAGGGCAGTGGTTTCAAGCCCTGGGTTCTGGAGTCAGCCAGACCTGGATTCAAATCCTGACCCAGCCACTACCTTGTTTTATGGCACTGGGCCAAAGTATCTTTTAACTGCTCAGTTAAAAGTTAAATACTCATGGGCCGGGGATTTAGCTCAGTGGCACCATGCCTGTCTTGCAAGCACAAGGTCCTGAGTTTGATCCCCGGTACGCCCCCCCCGGAAAAGTAAACTACTCAGTATTCTTACTTGTGAAATGGGGCTAAAATGTTAGTACCTACCTCATAGGGTTGTTGTGAGGAATCAAACAAGGAAGCTGTGATGTCTGTAAAGCGCTTACCCAGTGTCTGTCACTTAAGCGCTAAATTTAACAGCAGTGGTTATGAATTGCATCTGGGGCTGGGATTGGGAGTCTGCGCCATTGTTGGTTGAGAACGTTGATGCCTTGTACATGACCGCTGATTTGAACTGTTTCTGCTGTTGCCCTGCTCGTCAGCTCCTACAGTCCGTCTTACGGGCTCCACGTGTCTGGGGGAGGGTGACTGGGCCCAGGATTGATAATGAAGGCACCTAGAGAGCAGCAGGGGCTAGAGTACCCAGAAATGTGGGTGTTTGGGGGCCAAATGTGTCTAGTTTCCACCTTCGTTTGCTGCTCTTAACCTTTTCTCCCTTTACTGGGTCTTTACAAAATGGCTCTTAGCCCTCATGGTACATCAGCTCCATGGCAGCTTGTAGGTTTCCCTGAGGGCCTGAGAGCTGGACTTAGCTACTGGGGCCAGGGCGGGTGAGAGCAAATGAGTACAGAGCCTGGCCCTGACCTTCACAGGAAAAGGAATGCAGCCTCTTGTTAGGACAGGGAGGGAAAGGAGGCTGTGGCTTGGAGACTTGGGCTTCGTGTTTGCCCTGGGACAGGTTATAGGAAAGAGTCCCAGCAGCCATTTTAAGAAAAGGGTTTGTAGGGAACTTTTAAGGGTGCTGAGCGACTTTGGGATTTGTCTCTGGAGTCAGGAGAGAGAGGGCCCCACTTTTTAAGTTCAACTTGTAACTGTTTTCTCTGCCTTCAGGTGACCCTGGCAGTAACCCCAACAAACGCCAAAGGCAGCCCCCTCTCCTGGGAGATCACCCTGCAGAATATGGTGAGGGCAGGGGGTTTCCTTCCGTGGACTCCCGTGGCTCATGTGCCCCTGCCCGCCGCCCGCCTCGCAAATTCTCACCCATCCTCCCTCTCTTTCCTTCCCACCCCCCAGGAGGGCCCCATGGTGGGTACCACAGCCATTACCATGATGAGGGCTACGGGCCTCCCCCACCTCACTACGAAGGGAGAAGGATGGGCCCACCTGTGGGGGGTCACCGTCGGGGCCCAAGCCGCTACGGCCCTCAGTATGGGCACCCCCCACCCCCTCCCCCACCACCCGAGTATGGCCCTCACGCTGACAGCCCTGTGCTCATGGTCTATGGCTTGGATCAGTCTAAGATGAACTGTGATCGAGTCTTCAATGTCTTCTGCTTGTATGGCAATGTGGAGAAGGTGAGTTGCTGCTGGGTCAGTGGCTAAAGTTGTAGGCTGAGCAGGTCCGGAGCAGGCCCTGGCCTGAGCCTGCCAAACAGCAGATGGGGAAGAGCCAGTGAAGAGTCAGCCTGCTGGAGGGGGTGACTGGAGAGCTCAGGCGACCCACAGCAGACAGGTTTTGTTCTTCACTGTGTTCAGTTGGTTTTTTGAATTTTCTTTCAAATTAAAGTATTGGGACATACCAAGATGTAAAGATGTGTAAAATATATTGGAATTTGTTTGTTATATAAACTATTACGTAAGGATTTCTCCTGCAAAGTTTGAGGTGATCTGGCAGTGCAGGGTACCTTCCTGCATTCTCTGTGGGTGATGCCTCCCAAAACCGGATGGTATTTTCCTTATTATCAAATCCCTGCAGTCTTAGTCTGTATAGTTTGTTTTGGCTTGGCCCATTAAAGATGGCAGTTAATACACGTGACCTGTTCTTATATACCAAGTTCTATTAAACGTGCATCATGGGACTGGGGATTTAGCTCAGTGGTTCTGCCACCTACCTTGCAAGCCCAAGATCCTGAGTTTGATCCCCAGTACCCCTGAAAAAAAAAATCGGCGGTTAATAACGTTTATTTTTACAGTAATACTTAATGAGAAAGAAGGGATAGTGGTTGGAATTGCCCGGATTTACATAACCTTTCTGTGGAAAAAGGATTAGAGCTAGATAGCCAGGCTTCAGAGCCTGCGTGCCTCTTGCAGAACTTCTGTGTAATGTTCACATATGGGCATCTGGCCATGCTGGGAATATGTCTTGGGTAGAGCGCTTGCTGCTTGTGCGTGCTACCAGAGTTCTCTTGCCAGTACTTCTAGCCCAAACATAACAACATCCTGCACACGTGACTGGCCATGTAACAGACAAAACACTGGCAAAAATGATTTTTCTCCTTTTGCAGTTTTCTGCTCTATTATGAAATGGTCACTCATGGCCATGCCCTTCACTTAAAAAAAAACACTGCTGTTATAGGCTCCATTGCCTACTTTGTATATTTGTGTGGGCTGGGCCTGTTTTTCTAGTAGTCCGGACTCCCTGTGCACAAGTAAGAGTGGAAGCCCAGAGCCAGAGCAGAGCAGGACTTACGACTAACAAGAGGGTAGGAGAAGGCCCTGGCAGCTGGGCAGTGATGGTGCTATCCCTGCAATTGTTCTCCCCAAGGTGAAGTTCATGAAAAGCAAGCCAGGGGCTGCTATGGTGGAGATGGCTGATGGCTATGCTGTGGACCGAGCTATTACTCATCTGAACAACAACTTCATGTTTGGGCAGAAGATGAATGTCTGGTAGGTGCTCTCACCCCAGGCAGAGAGAGTTTTGGAGGGGCTGGGGAAGACAGAAAAGAGTTTGGACTTCGGAGAGAGGAGCACAATGAGCCTGAGGTATTTACTCAGGGTAGGATGAGGTGTGATGATGGTGTTCTATGCAGTTCTTCATCCTCTGAGGCCTTGCCTCTGCTGGGGAGTAATGTTCCCAGGGGCACAAAGCTATCAGATAGCATGGAGCCAGCAGTGCCTCTGCCAAGGAGGTCACAGTGGAGGGCTTGGGGTCTAACCGTGTTTCCCCTTTTTCCCTCTTACAGCGTCTCCAAGCAGCCAGCCATCATGCCCGGTCAGTCATACGGGCTAGAAGACGGGTCTTGCAGTTACAAAGACTTCAGCGAATCGAGGAACAATCGGTTCTCCACTCCAGAGCAGGCAGCCAAGAACCGAATCCAGCACCCCAGCAATGTGCTGCACTTTTTCAATGCTCCCCTGGAGGTGACTGAGGAGAACTTCTTCGAGGTGGGTGCGTGGAACTCCTCAGGCAGATAACCACAAGAGTTCATCACATCAATTGAACTGCTTCTCTGCCAGGCTCTGGATTTTGTGCTGGGGACACAGTGGAGACCGGGACAGATAAGATCCCTGCTCATTGAAATACTAGATGGAGTAGCACCATGCTTTTAGCAGCAGAGGTCGCCATGCGCCTCCTTTGCATTCTTGACGAGCTGGAACAGCTGCCTTTTTGCTAGGAAGGTTCCTGGGCCAGTCATCAGCATGCGGTCTTAGTACAGCCACGTTGTCAGGGGCTCCGGGTGCTTCGGTAACTTCAGAACACAGGGCCCTGGAAAGCTGGGTCGGAGATGTAAGACAGTTGGCAGGAGAGGAGGCCAGGTGAGACTTCAGACTTTGATGTAGCCTCACGTGTTGCCTTCAGTTAAGCAAATCTTCATCTAATGTCACAGAAACCCACAGTGCTGCTGAGCATGAGAAGTTTGCAAAGCAGTTTTCTAGTCCTTGGTATGTCTACCCTTTTGTGTCACAAGGACACCTTAAAAGAGTATGTGATCAGCCAGGCGTGGTGGCGCACACCTGTAATTCCAGCGCTCGGAGTTGAGGCATGAGGATTGCTGTGAATTCGAACCAGCCTGGGCTACATTGTGAGTTCCAGGTCAGTCTCAACTACATAGTGAGACCTTATCTCAAACCACCCCCCAAATATATATATATTTTTTTTTAGAAAATTGCCAATGAGGCCTGATCTACTGGAGTCCCATCATCCGTCCATGCAGTCCTTGTTTCTATTAATTCCTCTACTATCATATTGCAGATCTGTGATGAGCTGGGAGTAAAGCGACCAACTTCTGTGAAAGTATTCTCAGGCAAAAGTGAGTCAGTGTCCTGCCTTCCTCTTGTTCCCTTGTTCTCTGTGGGTAGCTGCTAGGGCAGCCTAAAACCTGTGCTTTCCCCCTTGCTTTCTCACCAGGTGAGCGCAGCTCCTCCGGGCTGCTGGAGTGGGAATCCAAGAGTGATGCCCTGGAGACCTTGGGCTTCCTGAACCATTACCAGATGAAAAACCCAAGTGAGTATCTCTGTGTCCTGCAATCATTCTCCTAGTGGCCCAAGGGGTTGGCTGGCATCAGTCCAGAGCTGTCCTTCCTGCCCTTGAAGTAAGACACAAGAGGTTTCGCCTTGTCCCTGACGCAGATGGGTGGGATCTGGTCACCAGGAGAGCAGCCTGATGATGTTCCTCCTGGGAGGGCCAGCCTAGCTACTTGATGCCACCCACTTGGGAGTGCTCGATGTCAACTTGGGAGTTGCTTGGGCTTGGCTTTCCAAGGAGCTGGCATTCTTGTGTCAACAGGCAGTGCCCAGAAAAGGGGCCCCACTAGCTGAAGTAAAAGTTGTCCAGCCACTTGATCAGCCAAGCCTGTTGCCCTAGGTAGCTAAGGAAGTCAGAATTGGCGGGTGTGTGTTAGACTCCGGCAGTTGAACTACAAAAAGTGAGAAGTAGATGCAAACTGAGGGGATCTATGTGGAGAACCCTCCAGAGAAGGCCCCAGGTGACTTGTCTTCTCCTTTGCAGATGGCCCCTACCCTTACACTCTGAAGTTGTGCTTCTCCACTGCTCAGCATGCCTCCTAATCAGGGGCCCAGGAAGAGCCACCTACGCAGGAAAACGGTTCTTTTCGTTTATGCCATTGGAGTTTTTTGGTTGTTTTTTTTCCTTTTTGCAAAAGTTCTTGTATTCCTTTTTTTAATGCTAGTTAATAGAAGCTTAACCATAATGGAAATGCTGGAAGTCTGGAGTGGGTGGGAGAGGGGAACTGATATCTCCCAAGATTAACCTTCACTTTTTAAAAATTATTGTACATGTGATTTTTTTTCCTGTTCATACATTTGTGCTGCCCATGTATTCTTGGCACATTTCAATAAAATTGTTTGGAAAATAAACTTAGTACTTGCTAGGATTCCCTGTTTTCCACTCAGTCTTGTGAAGAGGTACAGGCAAGCCAAGGCATGGCCCAAACACTTGGGAGACAAGCCCAGCCCTGTGAGGAGCAGGCTGTCCTGCAGATGCAGTATTAGGAATTGAGGCCTTTTAAGGAAAATCCTGCAGGCTTGGTGGCATTCTTAAAAGGCCTTGCCTAAGCAAGCTCATTCTAGTTGGAGAGTCATTTAAAAAATAATGTGATGGTAGAGCCCCAGGTATGGTGATAAGAGCAGTAGTCCAAACAGCTCAAGAGGCTGAGGCAGGAGAATCCCTTCAGCCCAGGGAGTTCAAGGCCAGCCTGGGTAACACTGCAAGACCCCACATTAAAAAAAATTGTTGGATTGTCTGCCTTATTGGAAAACTCCGAAAAGAAAGGTGAAAGTCCCCATTGAATCCCTCTAATCAATGTTTAACTTGTTCGTGATTCCTTCTTTCCATAAGGAAGTTCTCCTTTTTGAAAAGAAAAAAAGTTCTTTGTGCTGTACAGCATTCTGTGCTGTCCCCCTCTACCCCTGCAGAGTGTCATTGTGTGGTGTCATTTACTTAGCCTAGTTCTGAAAGTAATTTCCAGGTCTTGGGATTGCAAACATTTCTGCAGTATTCATCTTCATTATTTATACAGATGATTTAGCCAGAATTGCCAGGTTGAAAGATACAAATAATTGCAGCATAATATGGATGCTCATCACTTGAGGTGACCCTGTGAACGTGGCTCTGGAAGGAGCCTGAGTTAAGGACCTTGACATTGTGGAGGATGAGGTGACCTGCAGGGGAACAGGTCACAGACTTGTCACCTTGGGAGTTACGTGGATGTGCTTGCGAACCTGCATCAGACTTAACCTGTTTCCAAACCTACTTTGTTAACATCTACTGAAGTCACAGCATCTTCACATGAGCAAACGGTTTCGCTAGGGAAAGTTTTGTAAATCATCTAGTTTTTTGTTTTTTAAACCAGTGTCGGGGATGGGGATAAAAGTACATTTTACCAATCTGTCTCCTAGTTTCTCATAGGCTTACATGAAAGGATTCTAAGTTAAAACTTGCCTCCCATACTGACGTGTGTGCCGTCAGTTTCCCACTGCATGGATAACTACGCAGTCAGTCCTGGGATGGATAGTTGCTGGGGCTTTCATCCAGGTAGCACATGTTCATTAGCAGGAAAGCTTTCTCACAGTCCCACTGGCCCAGAGACATCTGTTCAAAACCTTGGCGAACATCTCCCTCAGGAGCCTACTTAAGCAGTATTTGTTATGCTCTGGGGTAACCCCTTTTTCCAAGGGGTTTTATTTGTTTGAGAACATGGTCTTTTAGCTGGGCCCAGGGGCATACGCCTGTAATCTCAACCACTTGGGAGGCAGAGGAGGAGGATCACAAGTTTGAGCCCAACCTGGGCAAAACTGGCAAAAGCCTGTCACAAAATAGAAAAGAGGTCAGAGTGCTGGGAAGGTAGCCCCATACCAGAGCACAGGCTGGGTGTTGTGGGGTGGTAGTGGTGAACGGGTGCCCTGGGTTCAACCCTCAGTACCAGGAAGAACATGGACTTCAGTTAAAAAATTCAGGCTGGGCGTGGTAGCGCAGGCCTGTAATCCCCGCCCTTGGAGGCTAAGGGAGGAGGATCGCTGTGAGGTCAAGACCAGCCTGGGCTACACAGTGAGTTACAGATCAGTCTCAACTATATAGTGAGACCCTGTCTCAAAAAACAAACAAAAAAACAGCCGGGAGTGGTGGCTCACGCCTGTAATCCAAGCACTTGGGAGACTGAGGCATGAGGATCGCTGTGAGTTCAAGGCCAGCCCGGGCTATGCAGTGAGTTATAGAGCAGTCTGAACTACATAGACCATGTCTCAAAAAACCAAAAAACAAAACAAAAACACGTGCCCATACACACACACACAAAAGAAAACATGAACTTGGGAGTCTTGTAGCATGTAATCCTACTTCACAGTTCAGAAGCCCAGTGACCTTGAACAGTGACTCCCTGAGCCTGTGTCTTCAGTACGATGGAAAATGGTATTCTGGATAGTGTGGGAATTCAGACAGTACAGTGTTTGATACCCGTTTGATACTGCACTCTTCACTCCCTCCTTCCCTCGTGTAATTAAACTCACAGTACTGGATATCAACTATTTTTAGTTCACATGCATGGAGGGCTGCAGTTGCTCTTGGAAATTTCAGCTGTCTCCAGTTTACCCACCGTTTACAAAACAGCGCTCTGATGAACTTTATACTGAAGTCTCCAATAGCAGTGTGACTTATTATCTTAGGCCACGTTCCCACTGGGGCAAAGGCTTCATTCCTAAACGTGTCTCCAAATTGTGCCAGCGAATGTGGAAGATTCTTTCCGGCTGCCCTTAGTAAAGATGGCGCGAGAAAGGGCGTCATTGCTATCTAGGCTTCGGATTCGATGCCGTCTCCCAAGAGGGCGGATTTTTTGTGCCCGCCCCTTATTTTACTCTCCTGTCACTCAAAGCTCCTCAGGAAGTCGGCGAAGTCGGCGGCGATGGCGGCTTCCTATAAAGTGGGGAACCTGCTGATGCGGCGTAAGTCACCCGTGGGGGTCCGTCGCTGTGTCAGGCTGTCACCAAGGCCATCTCCTAAGAGAGGAGTCTTATGGGGGTCACGAACGGTCCAAGCCCTTTAAATTTCGGTGTTCGTGAGCGGCTTATTCTATAGGCCTGTGACTTGGAATAGGGTCGCTGACAATTCAGTGTTCCTAGAATTGGGTCAGTCCCACAGTTAAGGGGCTGAAGTAGTCTCAAACTGAACACTAATAAGTGCTCCCCAACCTTTAGCCCCCAATCCAAAATCTCTAATGAATTTGTGTTCTCCAGTCTAGAGTCAGTGAGGTGTGGGCCCCTGCTTTTGAAGGTACCGTGTCCCTATTACAGCATCATCAAAGGCTCTTCTGTCCTCTTCCCAGGACTGATAGCTCCCATCCAGCTGGGCTTCAACTTGGGCCTTCGCCCCATGAGCTCCACTGCACAGAATGAGGCCTTCGGAGCAGCTGCCTCCGAAGCCCCAGGTCACAGCTATGAGTCGCTTAAAGTGACATCTGCCCAGAAACATGTTCTCCACGTGCAGCTAAACAGGCCTGACAAGAGGAACGCCATGAACAAGGCCTTCTGGAGGTCCGGCCTGCAGACCCTGGAGTTGTACCTGATGCAGGAAATGGGGGTGGGGGACAAGCCCAGGGTGGGCGCTTTGCACCCCAGGTGTAGGTAGCCTTTCACTGTGCTTCTTCACAGGGAGATGGTGGAATGTTTCAACAAGATAGCACAAGACTCTGACTGCCGGGCTGTGGTGATCTCTGGTGCAGGGAAAATGTTCAGTTCAGGTACTCCCTACCTCTAGTGTCCTCTCTTCCTGGCACTAAAACAACTGCTTCTTTTTTTTCTGAGACAGGATCTTGCTATGTGCTGGCCTTGAACTGAGTATTCCAGGCTGGCCACAAACTCACGGCAATCCTGCCTCAGCCTCCTGAATGCTGGGATTACAGGCATACACCACCACATCTGGTGACAGTTGCTTCTTACTGAGGGTTTTAAGCAGCTTCTGATTTACATGTTATAATTTTTTATAGGGCTTTATTTTAAAGGTAGAAGACTGGGGATGTAGCTCTGTCACGGAATGCTTACCTAGCATGCCCGAGGGCCCTGGGTTCCATTCCTAGCTCCGTCCCCCTTAAAATTTAAGTACAGAGGGCCAGGAATGTAGCTCAGTGGGTGGAGCATCTGCCTGGTAAGCACAAGTCTCTGAGTTCCATTCCTGGTTTATACATATTTTTTTTTTCCCCAGACAGGGTCTCACTATGTAGTTTAGACTGTCCTGGAATTCACTGTGTAGCCCAGGCTGGTCTTGAACTAACAGCGATCCTCCTGCCTCAGCCTCCCAAGTGCTGGGATTACAGGCGTGCACCACCATGCCTGGCTTCCACAAAAATTTTTAAATGCAGAATTTACTCCAGCCTGGCATGGCAGTGCATTCTGGGAGACTGAGGCAGGAGGAGTGCTGTGAGCACAACCTCTGCTACATAGTGAATTTAAGGCCAGCCTGAACTATACAGCAAGACCCTGTCTCAAAAAACAAAAAAAGAAAAACATTAGTCCAACAGAATACAATGGATCATAGGCCCTGATCTGGGTTTCCGCCTGGGCCTTGAATGAGGCACTTACTCCCTCAGCCCACTGTTGTCCCAGCCGAGTGTGTTAAAGCAACAGCAGGCTTCCATGCAATCATTTAGCATCTGGCACTGTTTCCAGGTTTGTAGTTTCATGCCTGTCAGATCTTCCATGGCCCCACTGCTTTGTTCTTCAGATTGGATCATTTCAGTTGGTCATTACTGGCTTTTCTGTCATCTCTGTTCTACTGTTAAGCCCATTGGTGATGTTTAATTTCAGAACACTTGCTTAGCATGCCCAAGGCCTTGGGTTCCATCCCCAGCACCAAAACAAAAAAATACATACAAATAAAGGTATTGTAGTTTTCACTGGGTATGATGGTACATGCCTATTAATCCAAGCACTCTAGGAGGGTGAGGAGAAGGATCAAAAGTTTAACTTCTCAAGACTGTCTCAGAATTTCAAAAAAAGGTCTGGGGATGTAGCTCAGTGTGAAGGCCTTGGGTTTAATCCCCAGCCCACCCCCATGTAGTTCTCAGTTTGCAAATTTCCACTTGATTCCATTTCTCTGCTGAATTGTCACATCTGTTTATTTGTCTTGAACATATGTTCCTTTTCCCATTGAGCAGAGTTGACAATGGCTGCTTGAAAATCCTCATCTTTTGATTCTGAGAACGGGCCATCTAAGGGGCCAATTTCTGTTTATTATCTTTTCTCCTGAAAATGGCTTTCACATTCCTGCTGAGATAGAAAAATAAGATATGTAAACTCCAAATTCTATTATATAACTCCAGAGCCCACTGAATTTCCTGTTTTAGTCCTTAGTTGGAATTAGCTTTTAAATCTTGTGCCCTGCTACACACATGCTTTTATGAGTCAGCAAGCGATCTCAGCAGAGTTTGTACACAGGATTTGGGGCTCTCCTTTCTGGAAATTTCTCCCTTAGTCTTAGCAGCCATGTCCACCCAGGACTCTGTCGTGTGGCTCTCAAAGCACAACTTCAGCCTGCCATCAGGCTAAAAGTTTTATAAAGTGGCTCAGCTTGTACCTGCCACCTTTTTGAAGTGCTAACTCCTTTCAGATTCTTCAAGTGGCTCCCAGTAGCTGTCTTGTCCAGCCAAAGTATACATGCAGTATGTCATCATGGGAGGTTAGTCCCTTAGGGCATAGCAGAAGCAAAATGTCATGTGCACTGATTTCTCCACTGGGCCCAGTGGGGAAGACACACACTAAACCGTCCAGTCGCTTCTGTTTTCTCACATCCTATGTTTTCTCCTTACATCTCTTTGTTTCTTCGGTCATTTGCTTGTTCACTTGACAAGTGTTCAAGGAGGTCAGTGCAGTGCCTGGGTTGCCTCTGCTCCTGATCCCTTGCCTTTGCGGCGCTTATACCTGAGAAAGGAGGACGCTTCCCTTGTGCTGTGCCAGGCCAGGGCACTCATCTTTCAGCATCCAGTTGATTGCAGCCATCTCATCCTTTCTTCAGCAGCAAAACCTCGGGGTCATGGTGACCCAGGGATAGAGTAGAAATACTGTTCCCCTCCACCCAGTACCGGAGATTGAACCCAGGCCGTTGCACTGAGCTATGTCTCCAGCCGCCACCACCCCTGATTTTTTTGAGATAGATTCTTGCTATGTCCAGGCTGGCCTCAAACTTGAAATCTTTCTGCTTCAGCCTCCCAGAGTGCTGGAATTACAGTCATGTACCATCATGCCCAACTGAAACTATTAATTTTTTTAATGACTACTTGCCAGGTGTCCCGTGGTCTGGTGCCCTTTATTTCCTTGCAGTTGTCTACAGGTCCAAGAAGGCAGGCAAACCAGAAAAGCCAGTGACAGGAGTTGTCACGAGATGCCATGCTAAGCCTGTTCTGGGTCTCAGCATAGCTCCTGAGTCACGTGGGGCCCTTAGACATGGTGTGAAAGCCAAGAACCACCAGCGGGCCGATCCAGCTCATGACTCCTTTTGAAATGGAGACTACAGAAGTGGTGACTGTGCCCCTCAGTATGCCAGACCCACTCAGTGCCCCTGGGGCTGCACCTCTGTGCACACCTGGCAGTCCTGTCTGCTTCTGGGAGGGTTTACAAGTATTTCACAGAGAAGCCACCCAGGTCCCTAGATGAAGTGACCCAGCCGGGTAGCACAGGGCCTCCTGCCTTCCGCATATGGGACTTGCACAAGACCGCCTGGCCAAGCCCTGGCTCCTTCCAGCTCACAGGTAAACAGTGAAGCCTCAGTCGTTCAGGGGTGCGGCCACGCATAGGGATGACTTCTCAGGTTTGTCAGTGGCGCTGTGTAGTGACCAGCGAGAGGACGAGAAAGAATAGCTTCACATGGAGGAAAGAGAAGGGTGCTTCTGCTCAGCCTCGCGTGGTACAAGTCCAAGTCCTCCCCAGTGCTCTGCCCCTCCCCTCTCTGACCGGGGCTCTTCCCACTCCCTTGCTTACTCTGCCACACCTCATGGGCGTCTGCCACAGTCCTGGGAGAAACCAGGGCCTTTCCCACCACGGGGCCTTAGTACCAGCCGTTCCTGACATCTGCAGCTCTTTCCCACACGCCCTGGCGCCCTCCCTCTCCTCCAGGCCTGTCCTCCCATGTCACCTTGCCAGTGAGGACATGTGACACTGCAGCAGTCCTCACACACACACACACATGCACACAGAGTCCATTCTACTTTTGTTTTCCTTGAGCACTTAGCACCGCCTGACAAAATGTACTTTTTTCCTCATTTGTCTGTCTCCCCATAAGGGCAGCAGTTGTCATCTGCATTGTTCCCTAACTGAGCACCTACTGTGTACCAGGCCCTGATCCAGGCCAGAGGTAAAAGGTGGGGAAAAAAAAAAAAAAAAAAGACAAAAAAGCCCCAGGCTTCCCAGAACTCGAATCCCAGAGAGACCAGTGCTCGGTGAGATAAACTCCTGACTGTGTGTCAGCAAGATGTGCAGGGAGCTGGGGCAGCCGCTCCAAGGAAGTAGCCCAGAATGGAGCCGCCTAGTCAGCCTTGGGGGTAAAGGGGGATAACAGCACTGGGAAGGACATCGCAGCGCTGGGGATGGGGCTAAGCAAGGCTCTGCCCTTTTATTCTAAATGGGTGGGAGAGAAGAGAGGCCTTGACTCGAGGTTCACAGGCTGCTTCTGCCTCTGGGGGTGGGGGTGGAAAAGGGGACCAGGATGACAGGGGTAGAGAATGGCTGGTGGAAGAGAAGTCAGATTCAGGATTATCTTCAAGTGGCAGCCACAAACTGGTGGGTCCCTAACACCTCCCCTCAGGTATCGACCTCGTAGACATGGCGTCTGACATGCTGCAGCCCCAAGGAGACGATGCGGCCCGCATGGCCTGGTACCTCCGTAACCTCATCAGCTTGTACCAGAAGACCTTCAGCGTCATCGAGCAGGTGGCTCTGGGGGGCGGAGACCATCCCCGCTGCCCTCCTCTCTTCAGCCAGCCTGACCCCCTCTCTTGTTCCCTTCCAGTGCCCCAAGCCTGTGATCGCCGCCATCCACGGGCCCTGTATTGGTGCTGGTGAGTCCGCAGCCACCAGCCAGTGCCAGAGCCTCCTGTCTCAGCTCTGTTGCTACTTAGACTTGGTCCCAGGATGCAGCCCCACGTCCTGGGAGGAGGGGTTAGTTCTTGCCGTTGTTCAGTGTCCCTGGCCTCTTTGTCCCAGGCGTGGACCTCATCACTGCCTGCGACATCCGCTACTGTGCCCAGGATGCTTACTTCCAGGTGAAGGTGAGTCCTCCCTGAGCTCCCTTTCCTGGGCAGGTAGTGATGGACCAGGGCAGGCCAGTGGGGCAAGGCCTGATTCCTGAAGAGGAATCAGAACTGAACCTTACAACGTGAGGCTAGGGTCAGGCGTCACGCCGCACACCTCCTTCCCACCCCTGAGGGATGCTGAGCCAGGAGCATTGCAAGTCAAGTTTTGCCTGGATAATTTATTAAAATTCTTTTTCAAAGTAAATGGCCAGGGACATAGCTCAGTGTAAAGGCCCTGGGTTCAATTCTTAGTATTAAAAAAAAAAGATGAGGCTTGGCACGAAGAAAGGGTGGGTGGTGTGAGCCTGGAGTAGACTGGTCGGGTGGTCAGATGGAGTCCCTGGGTGGGACCTGCTGATACCCGGAGAGATCTGACCAATTGAGAGGGCAGGGAGTTGGCTCAAGACTGAAGGAAACTGCCGGGGGGGTAGGCGCTTCCTGATGAGAAGCATTCCCGTTTGGAGAGGGTCGTGGGTCCTCTGCAGGAAACGCGAACTGTTACAGACGTTGAGGTGGCGTGGGGAGCAATACTGAGCAGAAAGCAAACGCTGACCTGACTTCTTCCCCAGGAAGTGGACATAGGCCTGGCTGCCGATGTGGGGACACTGCAGCGCCTTCCCAAAGTCATCGGGAGCCAGAGGTGGGTGGGTGAGCGGAGCTGGGAGGGGACTGCGGGGCATGGACGGACTCGGGCGACAGCAGCAGCCCTTTTACAGCCTGGTCAACGAGCTGGCCTTCACCGCCCGCAAGATGATGGCTGAGGAGGCGCTGAACAGCGGGCTGGTCAGGTAGGAGCCTAGGCCTGGAGGGAAGAGCCCAGGGACAGACACGCCGAGCGCGGTCCCCTCTAGGTCCTTAGGTGCTGCCACAACCCTTTCCCGGGGTCTCTGGCCTCCTGGGTGAGACCCCTTCCCCAGCAAGGAGATGAAGGAAAGCCTATTTCAGGCTGTTGCCCATTCCTCTCACCCCTTCCCTCGCAGCCGTGTGTTCCCAGACAAGGAGCGCATGCTCGATGCTGCATTCGCCCTGGCCAGTGAGATTTCCAGCAAGAGCCCAGTGGCAGTGCAGACCACTAAAGTCAACCTGCTCTATGCCCGCGACCATTCAGTGGCCGAGGGCCTCAACCACATGGTAAGGCGCTAGCTCCGGCCAGTCACAACCCGCCCATATCCCAGGGTTACCAATCAGGGATTGAGGGTTGTGCGCAGTCTCGCTCTTTGTCCTCTGGTTGGTGTGCTACTAGCCTTTCCCCGCCCTCTACTCAGGCTTCCTGGAACATGAGCATGCTGCAGACCCAGGACATCATCAAATCTGTCCAGGCGGCGATGGAGAAGAAGGACCTGAAGAGCGTCACCTTCTCGAAGCTTTGAGAGCTCTCAGCTTCCAGGCCCCAAACCCAGGGTCACCAGGGTTGGGCTTGCAGCGCCTCCCACCTGTGTCCTTATCTGTGGGAAGGGAGGACTGGTGAAGATGGTCTTCTCCATGCCTTGGCACACAGCCTCGTTTATAAGTTTATGATACTGATTTCCCTAAGCCCAAGGCCTTATCTTTCTTTGGAGCAATAAAGCCTCACAAAGAACCTGGTGTCTTTGCTCCTCAGAGGGGCGGTGGGGCAGGCTAAGATGCTTGTGTCCCCCAGCAGTTGCAAAGGTCTGGGACAGAGGTCTGAGCCAGCGGGATGAGAACCATCCCTGCCTTGGGCGGAGGGTACAGGGTGGGTGCAGTGCTACCCAGTCGTGAGCCAGTTGCTACCCCTCCATCTCCTGCCCCTGTACTGGGGATTGAATTTAGGGAATGCTGAGCTACGTCCCCAGCCCTTTCTATGTTTTTTGAGACAGGGACTTGCTGTATTGTCCAGGCTGGCCTCGAACTTGTGTGATCCTCCTGGCTCAGCCTCCTGAGCAGCTGGCATCACAGGTGTGTGCCATTACCTGGCAGTTGCCTTATTTCTTTAAACTTTGGTTTGTCTCAGTACTGGGGATTAAACTCAGGGCCTTCACATTGAGCTAAGTCTTTAGGGGAACCCCTCCCCTCTTTTAGGATTTTGGAGATAGGGTCTTGCTCTGCAGTTCAGACTGACCTTGAATTGACTATGTGGCCTCAGAGTGATCCTCCTGCCTCAGCCTCCTGAGTAGTTGGGATAACAGGTGTGTGCCATCGTGGCCAGCAATCACATTGCTTTAAGCTTGAGGTTTTCTTATCCATATGTAATCCTAGCCTTCTGGATTTACATTTAGATTGAGTCCAAGAGACCAAAATAATCCCTTTTGTATGCCATGTCCTGTTTTGAGCACTTATTAAATAGTGATTTCTCGAGAGGACCTATGATGCTGTTATTAGCACCATTTCACGAATAGTTGTGGGCAAATTGAGGATCGGGTGCTGAGCTAGCATCACACAGCCGAGAAATGGCTGAAGTCAGACGGGAAGTAGAACGCTGGCTCCAGCAGCCTGTGTCCCAGCCCACTGTGCAAACAGCACGACGCTTGGGTGAGGATGTGCAGGATGTACAGGGACGCACTGCCCACCTGTCCCCAGCGTTCCTGCAGCCCTGCCCTACCCTGCCCACCGGCCTCGCCCTCCCTCTGCCAACAGAGGCCAGGCAGGGTTTTATGGGCTCTGATAAGGCCCTGGTGAGGCCAAAGTCCACCACACTTCCTCTTTGCAAGAGGGATGGGGTCATGAGTAAGGCTGGTAGGGGACAGGAGGTTAGGGTGTGCCCTAGGCAGCCACAGAAGAGGGACCCGGTGGACACTCCCTGCCAGCCCCTCCCCTGGGTATAAAGGCCACCTACCCCTTGCGGCGGCCTGCATTCCCACCCTGCAGCTCCTCTCCTGGACAGTCACAGCCCAGCCTCAAGATGGCCTACGTCCCTGCACCGGGCTACCAGCCCACCTACAACCCGGTGAGAGACAGCCCTGCCTTGGCTCCTCCCGACCCACAGCGCTTCACCCCAAGCTGGGTCTTTGGGGGCCTCTGATTTATCCACTAACTGACCCCAAGGCTTCAGTCACCCCCACCCGGATGCTCAGCCCATTTGAGGCCGCACCTGGCTCTGGGCGCTGTCCTCACCCCCTGTCCTTCACTCGGAGTCTTCCCTTCCCTGCTTAAAGGAAGGGGAGCTTTCTGGTGAGGGGGATGGTTCTGAGACCCCTCCCTGGCCCCCTCTACAGACTCCCCTACAACGTTTGTGAGACCCCTCCCTGGCCCCCTCTACAGACTCTGCCCTACAACGCGCCCATCCCGGGCGGCCTCAGCATCGGAATGTCAGTTTATATCCAAGGAGTGGCCAACAAGAACATGAACCGGTGAGACCTCCCCTGCCAGCCTAGATAACCTGGGTGCTGCTGGTCTGCCCAGGGGTTCTTCTTCCTTCCCCTTCCTGCACTCTACCTAGGAGAGGGCTTTTTTTTTTTTTTTTCACTGTGTAGTTCAGGCTAGCCTTGAACTCACTATGTAGCTCAAGCTGGCTTCAAACTCTCAAACTCTCGGTCTCTCCCTGCCTCAGCCTCCTGAGTGATAGAATTACAGGCATGCGCCACTACACCTGGCAGCAGAAGAGGTCTTTCGCCTCCTCAGTTGATGGGGACAGGGAGGGAAAGAGGAATAGCTGAGGAAAGGAGTCCAGGTAGAGGGTGCAGCCAGTGCAAAGGTCCTGAGACAACCATACACCTGTCCTGTTTAATGCCAAACTCCTAAAGGCTGCCAAGTTGGGCAGTGTGGACTGGGCTCTGGTTTGAGTGTCCACAAGGTCTTCCTGGCTGTAAGGGGGAGTGGTGCACAGGGGCCAGGAAGGAACAGGGAGATCCCAGCCAAGAGACATGAAGTGCACAGGGAAGGGTCTGATCCATGGTAAGTAAGTGCTGCATAATGCCCAAGTCAACTGGTGGCAGTTGTCACCTGAAGCTGGGGGAAGAGGGGAAGTGGTCCTGAAGGAGAAGCTATCCAGCTGGGCATGGTGGCACACATCTGTAATCCCAGCACTCGGGAAGCTGAGGCAGGAGCTCAAGGCTAAGTTTCAAGTTCAAGTTCAAGGCCAGTCGGGGCTATATATTGAGATCTTGTATCAACAACAACAAAAATTGGTTTTAAACAAAGGATACTCTGTGAGCAAAAGAGTGGCTGTGGGGCTCTGCCTCCTGCAACACAGCCATGACTTCCCTCCTCACCTGGGTCACCAGGGCTGGCGCGGAGCCCCATGTCAGGGAGGGCTGGGCCCCGGTGAGGACAGCTTCTTGGGGAAGGCCCTGGCAGGTGGCACCATAGAATCAGGCCTTGATGTCTTTCCAGATTCTCTGTGAACTTCGTGGTGGGAAGTTCCCCGGGGTCAGACATTGCCTTCCACTTCAACCCCCGCTTTGACGGCTGGGACAAGGTGGTCTTCAACACGAAGCAGGGCGGCCAGTGGGGCGAGGAGGAGCGGAAGAGGAGCATGCCCTTCAGCAAGGGCAACGCCTTTGAGCTGGTTTTCATGGTCCTGGCCGATCACTACAAGGTCCTGGCCCCCTGTGTTCCCTCCTTCCCTCCCTCTTTCTTCCCTACCTCACCCTCCTTCTCCCTTCCTACCACATTGTTTCCCTCTGGTACTGAGGAGTAAAGCCAGTGCTTGGCACTGAGCTGCGTTCACAGCCCTTTTTTATTTTGAGACAGAGTCAGAGCTCTCTAGGCTGGGCTCAAACTCGAAATCCTCCTGCCTCAGCCTCCAGAGTGCTAGAATTCCAGTACCACTATGCCCAGCTCCTACCTCACTTTTTTCTGTTGCTTTCTTCCCACCTCCTGGGAGCTTTCTAGCCCACGGGACCACATCTTGTCCTTCCGGGTCTTACAGGAGGAGGGCACTGGCTGTGTTTTTGACCACACGGAAGGAAGCACTGGACACAAAGAGCCTGTGTCTCCCACACCCTCAGATTGGTCCCCACAGGACTCTCCCCTGCATCTCTGTACACTCCTTTTTCCATATTATTTGAAAGTAGATTCCAGACATTACATAATTCCACTCATAAATATTTCCTTTAAAAACACACGCACAGTCCCAATGCCACGATGACATCTTTGTGTTGCCACGCGTCCTGGCCTGTTCCGGTGTCTCCTACATGCTGTGCGTCTGTTGTTTTTCCCAGCATGTTTGAATCTGGGCCCACGCAGGCCCACACGGCTGACTCACTGTGCAGGTGGCTGTGGTCAGGGAGGCGAGAGCACTCCCTCCGGGCTTTCACAAAGCGAGGGCACCCTGGGCCAGAAACAGACCTTCCAGGACCGGGGATGTAGCTCAGTGGCACCGCACCTGCCTCACAAGTTCAAGGTCCTGAGTTCAATCCCTGGTACTGCAAAAAAAGAAAGAAAAGAAACAGACCTTCCATCCCCAACTCCCATGCGCCATTGCCTCTTTTTTCTTTTTTGTTTATTGAGACTGGGTTGCACTAGGTCGCTAAATTGCCCAGGCTGGGCTTGCACTTGCCATCGCCCTGCCTTACTCTCCAGAGTGCTGCGATTAAAGCTTGTGGGCTCATTTTTTACTTTACCTCAGGCCTCTAGGCTCCAAGGTTTCTGCCTCTAAGACCTCCCCGCCTAAGACCTTGAACCCCCAGTCGAAAAGACCCTGCTTCAAGCTAGGAATGGTGGTGCACACCTGTAATCCTAGGACTTGAGAGGCTGAGGCAGGAGGATCACTGAGAGTCTGAGGCCAGCCTGGGCTCCACAGTCAGTTCAAGCCCTCACTGAACTACATAGTGAGACGCTGCTTGTACCTCCCCGAAGTCGCGGCACTCATGCTGGACCTCTCGTGCCTGCCCTTCAGGTCGCAGTGAATGGAAACCCCTTCTACGAGTTCAAGCACCGGCTCCCCTTACACATGGTCACCCACCTGCAGGTGGATGGCGATCTGCAGCTGCAATCAATCAACTTCCTCGGAGGCCAGCCCGCCCCAAGCCAGGTGTGTGCGGTCCCCTCCCGTATGTGCTCCCTTCCTTCCTTAATCCGATCTCACATTCATTTATTGCCCAAGCACTTGATCAGTGCCAGTCCCTTTGAGAGGTGACACCAGGGACTCTGTGGTGACCAAGACCGTCCACTGGGAAGACAGAGACACCTGCAGATGGTGACGGCTTCCAGTGGCCAAGCCCATGATGAGGAGGTGTGGGCAGGGGGTCAGGGCCAAGGTGGGGTATCTATGATACAGGAAATAATACTGGAGGTGAAACATGAAGTATTCTGTCTCCCAACCTGTTAGCTGTCTGATACGCTGAGCTCTTGTTCTCTAAAAATCAAGGAGTGAATTCTAGAAACAGCAGGGGTTAAGAGCAGGAAGATATTGATTGGTAGAAAAGCTCCTGAGGGGCAGGAGGGGTCCCAGTGGGTAGCCAGGGGCCCACTGTACAGGGGAGTTTTATAGAGTGAAACCCACATGGGTACAGTGTGGGCCGCAGCCAACCTCATCCAGTAGGGTTACAAGTGCAGTCACTTAGGCGATAATGGTCCAGTTGGGAAACAAGGCACATAACAAGCATGGATGGAAAGCTCAAAGGTTCTCCTAGGAAGTGCTGGGTCCAGAGGTCTCTGGTCACCCACTGGGGTGGCTTATGTCTATTTAGACTTCATGAGGCCCAGTGTTTTTTTGTTTGTTTTGTTTTTGTTTTCACTGAAGCTCAGACACAGTGTTTGTTCTCTGAGGAAGTGTGCAGGTCTGGTCATCTTGTCTTTAACTTGAGGCGCAATTTTTGGGACCTTTTTTTTGTTGTTGTTTTGGTACCGGGGATCGAACTTGGGTCCTTGTGCTTCTGAGGCAGGAGGCAGGACTACTGAGCTAAATCCCCAGCCCTAGAGGCACAATTTTTGTTTGCTTGTTTGTTTTTGTTTTTGCCTTGTTTTTGGTACCGGGGATCAAACTCGGGTCCTCGCACCTGCAAGGCAGGCTGTGGAACCACTGAGCTAAATCCCCAGCCCCCGACAGTTTTTAAGTCATGTCTCTAGCCTCAGCTGTGGTGTGTTTCACCTTTGTCCTGACTCTCTCAAGGACATAGCCCTATCTGACTGCCTATAATATTTCCACCTAACTTATCTGTCTGTAATATCTACAGGCAATTTTGAGAGTCCAAAGGAAGGGTTTGGCCTGGTCATGGGTCAGAAAGAGCTTCCTGGAGGAGGAGGAGGTATACGAACTGAATCAATAAGTGTAGTAAAGGAGTAAAAAATTCACGAATAGCTCACAGATGCACCATGGTCTGTTTAACGCCCCCTGGGATTAGTCACCTGGGCACTTCAAAGCCACAAATGAGTGGGCACCACACACTCGCAGAGAAGAGCTATGCAGTCCCACTTGGTGACAAGCATGTGTGACAGTCAGCCGACAGGGCTGTGGGGGGGCAGTGCACTGGTACAAGACTCCTTGGAAAAATGGCAGCCTCTGTCTGAATGCTGACCAAACCCTCGGCCTAGGGACCTAGAAACTCTCAGATCCCAAGTGGGGAAACAACTACCGTCACACACCCACCATGCCACTTACACAAGCCTGGGCTGGGGCCTAACTAGCACAGGAGGCCCTAGGGTCCCATCCCCAGAACCACGATGAACCACAAAAGACACAGCCTCAGAGTTGAAACTGCCAGGGTGTTCTGTAACAGGTGGGTGAGTGAGGACAAAGTGTCCGTGACGCTGGTCTCCATAGAACAATGCATAGCTGCCACTGGGCAGGGGCCTCTCCCATCATCCCATACAGAATCCAACAAGCAAGCTTGTAGCCACAAAAGGAGAAAAAGCTCAATCTAATCTAGAGAGATTTGTGACGTGGCCACAAGGAAAGGGAATCCTCTGTAAAACTTGATTCAGGGCCAGGAGTGGTGGCGCACACCTGTAATCCCCACCGCTACAGGCAGAGAGGCAGGAGAATTGCAAGTAGGAGTTCCAGCCTAGGAAACTTAGCGAGACCCTAAACTCAATGAAACAACAAAAAATTATTAAAAACAAAACAAAACAAAACAAAAAAATTATTAAAAAAGGGACGAGAATGTAGCTCAGCGGGAAGGCTCTGGGTTCAACCCCCAGTTTTTGTAAATAAAAACAAAAGCAAACAAACCAAACCCCTCGATTCAGGTAAGAGTACCCGTGAGGAAGCAGAGGGGTGGGATGGGAGGCAATGTGGACATCACAGCAACATCTAGGGACCCAGTGGCACCTGTGCCCATTCACGGAGGGCTTTACGTTTCCCAAGCCATGAATTTGTTTCTGTTTTTGTTTTAGTGTTTTTTTTTTTTTTTTTTTTTTTTTTTTTTTTTTTTTTTTTTTTTTCTATCTTGAGACACTAAGTCACTAGATTGCCCAGCCTGGGCTCAAATTGTGATCCTCCTGCCTCAGCCTCCTAGATTTCTGAGATTATAGTATGTGCCAACCCACCCACCTGTGCTTCCACTTCTCCATGTGGCTTCCAAGATGAGCAGCAAAAGGGGACAAGAGCGTCCCAGGGCAATGGGAAGACAGCAGAGACTAGAATTCACAGCCCCCGTCCTAAGGCTTTGTGCTGAGGCCCACAAGGCCGCGGTGAAGGCTCCTCTCTCGGAATCCATCAGTCCTCTGTGTCCCTGTGGGCTTCAGAGGCCACTCATACGATGACAGTGGGCTGCCCAGGGCCAGGACGCTCAACACTCCAGTCCCAAACATGGGGTCCTACCCCTGATCTCCCTCGCTCTGTATCCACAGAGACCCATGGGCGTGCCGCCTTACCCTGTAAGTACCTGCTGGGGACAGTTTCCCCAGGGGAGGGGAAGGAGGTGGACAAGGAGGCCCCAGCCCCTCAGTGTCCTGCCTCCACTTACCCTCTAGGCTCCTGGGTATGGCCCTCCGCAGATGCAGATGAACAGCCTGCCCGTGAGTGCCAGGGTGCTGTGCCCGGGGTGCGGAGGGTGGGTGTGGGGCACGGCTGTACCCACTTGGCTCTGGAGAACCCGCTGCGTGGGGAGGCGCACAGTGCTTTGTGTCGGGCTTGGCCCAACGTGTCCTGTCTTCTGTGCTTCACAGGTCATGACGGGGCCTCCAGTCTTCAACCCGGTATGGCGTCCTATGGAGTTGGGGCCCCATGGAGGGGCTCAGTGAGGGGAAGCAGGCACTGAGATGGGACGAGGCCAGGAGAGGGGGGGTGCGGGGGTGGTATGAGGGTGTTCAGGGTGGACGGTGGGGAGATGGGAAAACTGGCGACTGGTGGAGGAGGGGACTTGGCTGGGAAGTTTCCCAGGAGGAATAGAACCTCTCTTGAAAAAATGTCCCTGAGCCGGGCGTGGTGGCGCATGCCTGTAATCCCAGCACTTGGGAGGCTGAGGCAGGAGGATCACTGTGGGTTCGAGACCAGCCTGGGCTACATAGTGAGTTCCAGGTCAGTCTCAACTACATAGTGAGACCCTGTCTCAAAAACCAAAAAAAAAAAAAAGTCCCTGGACCTGGACTCTTGTAACCTGAGAGCTGATGGAACCCCATGTTCTCCACAGCCTGTACCATACACTGGGAAACTTCATGGGGGGCTCAGCCCCCGAAGGACCATCATAATCAAGGGCTACATACCCCCCACAGCCAAGAGGTACAGCACCAGACTGAAGTGGGAATCTCCCGGCCTCCTCTCTGAGACCCAGGGGTCCAGGCCCAGCCTCCTCCCTCAGACCCAGGGGTCCAGACTGTCTTTCTCACCTGGAGACCCATGTGCTGAACCCCTAACTTGACATCCTCTCTTTGCTACCAGCTTTGCCATCAACTTCAAGGTGGGGTTCTCCGGGGATCAGGCACTGCACATTAATCCCCGCCTGCATGAGGGCATCGTGGTCCGGAACAGCCACCTGAGGGGCTCGTGGGGCTCCGAGGAGAGAAATCTTGCCTTCAACCCATTCCGCCCAGGCCAGTTCTTTGATGTGAGTCCAGGGTTCCCTTCCCCGCCTGCCCTCTCTGAGGCTATTCTGAGGCCTCACAGCCCACCCCGTCTCCTCTCTACAGCTCTCCATCCGCTGCGGTATGGATCGCTTCAAAGTTTTCGCCAATGGCCAGCACCTCTTTGACTACTCTCATCGCCTCCCAGCCTTCCAGAGTGTGGACACGCTGGAAATCCATGGTGATGTCACCTTGTCCTATGTCCAGATCTGATCTCTTCCTGGGAAAACAAGAAAGATCCTCCAGGGTTCCCTTCTAAGGCCCTAATAAAATGTCTGAAGGGTTCTCCTATGTCTGTGACTCCGTTCACCCCTCACTACTCCTTTCTCCCTTGGATCAGTCACTACCCTCCAAACTGACCTGTCATCTGTCCACATTCCCTCCCATCAAGATAAATCTACTTATGCCCTCAGGGAAACCATCCCCAGCACTGTTTAGGGCTCTGCATGGATCACCTCTTTCACTCCTCATCACAAACACCAGGAACTAAGAACATTCCTCTGAAACAGATGAGGAAACAGGAAAGAAAACAGGAAACAGGAAAGGAAAGAAAAGAAAAGAAAGCACCTCTCCCAAGGTTACATAGCCCATAAATAGCAGAATCCAGATTCAAATCCAGTGGGTCTGGCCCCCAAGGCCATGCACTTAACCATTACGCGGCCTGCTGTTCCGCCCACCCTGTGTCTTTCTCTTCATGCATCCAGCCAGCCTTCAGTCAAACACGCCACCACCTAGCCTGGCACCATTCCACCTACCAGTCCACTAGTCCAGCCAGTCTTTCATCCAACCCTTTATCCATCTCTCCACCCCTCCATCTCATCACTCATCAATCTCTCCAGACATCTACCCATTCAAGATCCATCCGCCCATCACCCTGGTCCACCTAGCTCATCTGCCAGGTGCGCACACATCCGTGCCGTCAGCAGCCCTGCCTCCAGCCGCGCAGCCATCCGAACATCTAACCACCGCCCTGTTCAGCTACCCACGTGGCCAACTCTCGTTTGCCAGTTCATTTCCACAACCTGCACTCATCCGTGTAGTTCTATGCCTTCTACCCCAACATCCATCTCACACAACCCCTCAGCCCTAAGTCAGCCGTCCACTCGCGGCACCCTTTCTGCCTATCGTGTCATCCAGCCAGCCAGCTCCTCATGGTCTCTTCTGTGTTCACTCATTCGCTTACTCATTTGATCACTTGTCTGTTATTCAGTTATGTACCATTCTTCATTGATCCATTCATCATTCTTCTACTTATTGTCTCATTCATCTAGTACAGTTTTCACTGGCGGGCATAGATAGATAGGGAGCGATCTACATGTTTTTATTTCTTTTATTTTTTAGATAGTGTCTCACTATGTAGTTCAGGTTGGCCTTGAATTCACGATGTGACCCAAGCTGGCCTTAAACTCGCGGCAACCTTCCTGCCTCAGCCTCTCGAGTGCTTGGATTATAGGTGTGCACCACGACCACCACTAGCTCCTCTATTTATTTTGTGGTGCTGGAGATTGCACCTAGGGCTTTCACACTGAGCTACATCCATAGCTCAGCTCATTTTTAATTTTTTGAGGACAGCGTCCCACTAAGTTATTAAGTTGCTCAAGCTGTGCTTGAAATTACAAATTGCAGTCCTCCTGCCTCAGCCTCACCGAATGCTAGGATTACAGACATGCACCATCGTGCCTGGCTACCTAAGGAGTTTTTTTGTTTTTGTTTTTGTTTTTTTTAAAGATGCACACCTGGGGCTGGGGATTTAGCTCAGTGGTTCCGCCACCTGCCTCGCAAGCACAAGGTCCTGAGTTCGATCCGTGGTACCAAAAAAAATAAAATAAAATAAAGATGCACACCTACGGCCAGGGATTTAGCTCAGTGATGCTTGCCTCGCAAGCACAAAGTCCCAAGTTCGATCCCCAGTATCAGTGGGGGGAAATGGATCCCTGGGCAGGCCTTGTTGTGCCCAGATCGCGATATCCCCAAAGACCACCAAGGAGTCGAGTCCGATGTAATCACACAAGAGGTTTATTGCAAGCTCGAGCATGTACTACCGGACCTCACCGACGTAGCAGTTTCAAACCGAGAGCCCCGAACCCAGTTTCAAACAGGCTTTTTATCCGCAAAGAAGCAGAACTAGGGGCTTTCTAAATGTGTCAGTGTCTGATTGGTTAATAATGAAGGCAGGGGACAAAGGTCTGCTGACTTGAGTTGGTGGTCAGCAGTCATGTACTAGGCAGTCACACATTGATAATTAACAGATACCTATAAGATGGTTCAAAGGCCACCAAGACATTCAGGATGAGCAAACAGTTGGACAATTAACTTGGGGTCTCTATGTCTAGAATCACTAACTTACATGCTACTCAGGTTCTGGACTTCAAACAGTACAAGATTGCCTTATATTCCTAAGCAGGGTTAGAACAAAGGTCAGAGCTATGGCTACAATGGGAGGGGGTTAGAGCACTGTCTCCTAGGCCCTTTGTCATTTAGCATGGACTTGTAGTTTGGTCAAAAGGGTGCCTTGGGGTTTTTCCAGTAACTGGGAGGTGACCTGATCACAGAATGGAGTGACTTTTTCAAAATGGAGTCAGTTTGGGCTCTACAGCCTGATGGCACAGACCTGTAATCACAGTATTCTGTGAGGCTGAGGCAGGAGGATGGAAAGTTTGGCTAGCCTGGGCAGCTTCATGACTCAGTGAGACCCTGTCTGAAAACTTAAAAATTAAAAATGAGCTGGGATGTAGCTCAGTGCAAAGGGTTGGGTTCATTCTCCAACCCAGTATAAAAACAAAAAAAGATATCGCACAGCAACCCAGACTGTTACTAGGTGAGACCACACAAAGCTGCCATTTTGTAGTAATATATCGATCATTTTGATATAGGTGGAATAGATGTGATTCCCAAACCTGCTATATATCCAAAATGCAAGCATATATTCTCTAAAATAGAAGAATGAATGCTAGCAACAATGGAGGCTAAGAGTAAGAAAAATTTATTGAGAGCAAGTTAGCTGCTATCTAAGTGAGACAGAAGGGGCTGGAGATTTAGCTCAGTGGTGCCACTGCCTGTCTCACAAGCACAAGGTCCCGAGTTCAATCCCCGGTACCAAAAAACAAAACAAAACAACAACAACAAAAAAACACTAAGAGAGACAGAAGGGGGACTGGAAAGTAGGTTGCCTGGGACCCTGTTTCCTAAGGGGTTTTGAGGAGCAAACCCCCAAGGTGAGGGGGATTCAATGTGGGATAAAACTATAGTCAACTAGTAAGATTATAAGTAGTCGCTTAGGTAATATTGGTCCAATGGGAAATCACAGGATGGGACAAAACTGTGATCAACCAATAAGATTACAACAAGTATAGTCATTAATGGGGATGAAATAGGGAATCATGTCTTGTAGCAAGCATATAAGGCAGGAGCGAGGGTTTTCTGTAAGGGGTGCATCAGGGATCTTTCCAGGAAGATCTTGGTCCCCTGCTCAGGTGATTGATTTCTATTTAGAATATCAGCCACTGCCACTCATCCTTAGGGGAAGCACTCAGGTATAGTAGTTTGTTTTTTTTTTTCTCTCTCTCTCTGTCTCCCTCTTTTTTTCCCAGTACTGGGGATCGAACTCAGGATCTTGTACTCGCAAGGCAGGCACAGTGCCACTGAGCTGCATCCTCAGCCCCAGTTTCTCTCTTTTTACAATGCTGGCCTTCAGGGACTGTGGTTCCGTTTTCCTCCCTCTCTGTTGGCTCCTCCGTTTTCCTTCACCTCGAGGGCCGGCCCTGTAGAGGCACAGCGATGCTCAACAACTAGGCCACACAGAGAGGTCAGACAGGAGATTTTATTGGGGAAGGCAGGCTAGGGAGAGAGGAGAGAGGGAAGAGAGAGAGGAAAAGAGAGAGAGAAGAGAGAAGACACAGGAGAGAGAAGGAGACAGGGAGACAGAGGAACAAAGAAAGGAGGGTCCTTTTATTGGTTTGGGGCTGGGCTATTGATTATTCATGAGGAGTCGGCTACCTTTAACCTATCACAGGCCAGGTTGCCCTTTATGGGTTCGGTCCTGCAGAAACAGGTTTAACTTCTCCGGACTGCTGTGGCCTTGTGGGGAGGGAAACTAAAGAAAAGAGCATGAGGTCATTTTAAGAGCCAAGAGAATACAGCCTGCGATGGCAGCATCAGATCCCTAACAGGCTCTGTCTAACCGCCTACAAGGTATCTAATTAACTAACGTACCTATGTACAATCATTTCACACGTTGTAGCCTAGCAAATCTGTAGCGGGCCGAGCTTCAGTATGTGCACGAGTCTTGCTGGCAGATTCGAGTTTCCTCCAGACTCCCCACCTGAGCTGTTCCTCCCAATGCCACCCCTGGGTCCCACCAGCGCCTTCCAGGGATGGCAGAGGGAAGGAATCACTTCCAGCCACCCTCAAGGACCACTAAGACCAAGGGAATGGTTCTCCGTACCACCCCACCGCCCCAGCCAGCCAGGGCCTGAGGGCCACAGAGCAGCCCTGATCTGTGTCACTGGACTGATTTCAAAAACAACCTAAATCTTTCCCGATGTTTAGAAGTGTATTTATTTATTTATTTGTACTGGGGATTGAACTCTGGACCTTGTGCTCAGGCGGTAGCACCACTGAGCTAAATCCCCAGCCCTAGAAGTTTTTAGTTTTTATGTAGTCATATGCAGTGATTCTTTTCCCACGTAATTTTCTACATTGTTTTTATGCTTATAGAGGTGTTTTATTTTGGTTTGTTTAGAGATACATTACAAAGCAAGCCACATCCCTAGCTCTTATCTTTTTTTGGTTGTTGTTTTCTTTGTTGGTGTTTGTTTGTTTGAGACAAGGTCTTTCTGTGTAGTGCAAATTGGCCTTGCATTCACTATAGAGCCCAGGATGGCCTTGAATTTACGGCAATCCTTTTGCCTCAGCCTCCCGAGGTCCGGGATTACAGCCATGGCCACCAAGCATGTGTTATACTTAGTTGCAAGAGTTTATAGAGAATCACCACACTCTGAGCCAAATTTTGACTCCTCTTTCATTGTCAGCCAGAGGTTGAGAGCAAGCTTGCGCTGGACTAGGAAGAGTGGCTTGCGGATTTCTTTCAAGTAGCTCTTCTAATTCGGGAGGACTCAGGGAGATGGGGAGCGGGAGCAGAATTTAGCTAAATTAGTGGGGGTCAGGTGAAGTTTTGCACCGTTTTATTTGAAACAAAATATCACACAGATGCCAAGTATCCCGTTTACAAGGTTGTGAAGATAACAGTTAGTTGGAGACTGCTCCACCAAATGGGAA